GATTTCATGATATACTAAAAACAAAATATGTTAAATTATATTGGATTCCAAGCCATGTAGGAATACGAGGAAATGAAAAAGTAGATGCTTTAGCTAAACAATCATTAAATTTTCAAAAAACTGACTTATTGTTACCTGCTTGTGATTTTAGACCGGCTATAAATAAACTCGTATCATCTGAATGGAAAGCAAATTGGGACAATGCCGTTTTTAATAAACTTCACGATATAAACCCATCTCTTGATATGTCACCATCTCTATCTCTGTCAAACCGCCGTGATCAAACAGTTCTTCTTCGATGCCGAATTGGACACACAAAAATTACCCACTCTTATCTCCTCACAAATGACAATGCCCCTTTCTGTGTAGGTTGTAATGAAAATTTTACTGTCAAGCATTTTCTTCTTGAATGTCATGATTTTTCACAGGCCCGTAATAGATTTTATTCTGTAAATTCACTCAAAGAACTTTTTAATACAATTCCATCAAAAAAAATAATTGATTATTTAAAAGAGATAAACTTGTATTCTAGGATCTAATTGGCTCATTTTTATTGTCATTTACAATGTTTTACATAATATTTTAAGCCTATTATAGCATTCGGCACGATATGGCCAGTTATGTGTTGACGTGCCGTAAAATCCAAAAAAAAAAAAAAAAAAAAAAAAAGACTGAGCCTTGAAAAGTTTATGACACAGTCTGTATTAAGGGTAGTGAAACATGAATTATCACTTGTGTACTAAAGTTTTCAACAAAAATGAATGAGAAGGTTGGGGTGCATTCATTAATACAGAAAATGTAATCATTCCTAGGTCAATTTTGACATTTAAAAAGTATCTTGTAGCTGCTTCATGCTCATCATAATCTTCAACAGCTTTTGATCTTTATTCTAAGGCTAGCAGTTTAAAAAAGAAAAAAATTGTGTGTGAGGTCATGGTCATGCTATTGCAAGAGCTCTTTGAACTTTTGGAAATTCATAGTTTAAGAGTAGAAAGATCAATGAAATTTCACTCCCAGATTTTGAGAAGAGTTGCTAATTCCATTATTGATCTGGATTTTGATAATATATATGAGCCGCGTCATGACAAAACCAACATAATGGGTTTGCGACCAGCATAGATCCAGACCAGCCTGCGCATCCGCGCAGTCTGATCAGGATCCATGCTGTTCGCTTACCAACTCTATTACAAGTAGAGAAACTGATAGCGAACAGCATGGATCCTAATCAGACTGTGCGGATGCGCAGGCTGGTCTGGATCCATACTGGTCGCAAACCCACTATGTTGGTTTTGTCATGATGCGGCTCATTTATGATATTCCTGTATGGTATCATTACCATAGGGAGTTCGTACCTTGGTTACCGGTATACCAGTAATGTATTCTAGGCTTCATGATAGTCCATCAACCCATTCAGGCTCTGAGAGTACGAACCCCGGCATCCATGTCCTTTATACCAGTGATACCATGCACCCCTGCTATAATATTATATTATAGAAGGCAGAAGGATGAAAGGTCAGCGTGTCAAAACAAGTGTTTTGTATTTTAGTCAAGAGGTTTAAAATGTGCACAAGCATTTATTTTCTGAGGCACTGGGATATTAACCTTTAAATTGTTAAAATGTTTTTGCCCTGCTTTGAATTTAAAACAGTCCATTAAAAGTTAAGCAATTTCAATTTAAAAACAAAAAAAATTGAGCCACCAACAGAGTAAATAGACTGAAGAAATAAAGTAAGTAGGTTAAAAGTTTAAAGAAAGAAGACCAGAAAATGGTCCAGCAAATATTAAGGTTTAAAGTTCTATAAAGGTTATCTCCCTTTCTCTATACACTCCGTGTATAGCAGTTACTATACTGGTGTTTTATTTATTGGTTAATCAGTACTTTACCCCTTCAGCTTTGTAACATATGTTTTAAATTATATAGTAGTACAGCAAAGTTGTATAAATAGTAATGATTTTATCATTATTACAGTTTTATGATATGAAACATTTGTGTTTGATGATTCATGATTTTTAATTCATTCTCCAAATAATGTACAACAATGTTTTTGCTTGTCTTTGTTGTTTTTTTATATCCAATTTTAAGCTAGAACATCTTAAGGAAGTTTAAATTCATGTTACGCTTGTTATAACTGGAAGAATTTTAATTTGCATATTTATATAACTTTATATATAGAATAAACGCTTCATCTCGGCTCATTATGAGGTTTTTGTTGATAAAATTTGAAGCATGGGATGACGGCTTGTTTTGACACTTTATTTGGCAAGGTCGTAAATGATAAGAAAGTTGCGCTCTAGTAAGACTGAAAAGGCAATTTTGTTTAAAATCTTATCTCACCATGGGGAAATTGTATTTAGTTTTTAAAATGAATGTGTTTTTACGTTATATTGTAAACAGAATAGAAACATAAAGGACGTTCTTTGTGTTTAAAGACATTTAAGTACTCGTCTTAAAGGAATGTTTTCAAATTGATTTCAATCTTTGCTTTCTGTCGTCTTTGTATTGCTTGCGTGGTTATGAAAAGACGGGTTTTACAAAAAAATTAAAGCCATTTATTTAATACGCGAGAATAAAAAAAAAACAGCAAATATTGACGTAGTAATGGTGTGCAAATAACCAATTTTTTCTTTTCCAAAAAGTAAGACCTCATTTTAACATGAAGCCTGGATTTATTGATCCAAACTGCTGAAAAGAAAAAGAAAAAAAATATCCCACCATGTTTCAGACTTTTCGTCTTAATAAAATTACCACTTTTCTTGGGGAAATTGTAATGTCTTTTTAGTCCCGTAAAATCCCTGCACAGATTTATTCATTCCTTATGAAAAATGCAGTCATCGATTTTCACGTCCTTTCAAATTCTTTTTTGCTTCTTTCCATAGAAAAACATTTTTTATGGAAAATAATCATCTTAGAAGTCTTTCATTCAGAATTGTTGAATTACTTTCAGAGAAAGCCATTATGTTAGAAATAACATATGTCTATATTTTAGATCTTCTCTTATTTTCCAAAATAGATTACTTTGTAATTCTTAGGGTTTCTTCTCTGTTGTATTTTTTTTTCTCTAAACAGCTTTTATAAATTTCATAAAGAGTTTTTATCATAATTTTCATCAAGATGCAATGTGTTATTAGATAGGCATTAAATTGAAAGCTGAGGTTCTCCTCTCAACAAAGTGGTCATGTGTTTGGGCAGTATAAGGGTCACAGTTACAGGCTACATATTTGATACTAGAACTTTAAGCAAGGGAAAGTAATATCAAAAATTTTGAAAGGAAAGCTGTTATAGGTATCTCCTCGAGTAACAACCAATTATTCTACATTAGCTGTGGATAATAAATAATATGAGATGTTTTGATGATTATTGATGCCTGATCCACAGGATATGCCTGTCATGGGGTTTGAACTTTCAAAACTATGATTGTCTGGATAAAATTTTCATATCCATATCCGAGGCATTGCACATGGAACATGTCTAGCTATTGCACATGGAACATGTCCAGCCATTGCTCATGAAACACATCCAGGAAGTGAACATGGAACATGTCTTGCCATTGCTCATGAAACATGTCTTGCCATTACACATGAAACATGTTGAGGTATTACACATAAATGATGTCCAGTCATTGCACATGAAACATGTCAAGCCATTACACATGAAACATGTCAAGGCATTACACATGAAACATGTCAAGGCATTACACATGAAACATGTCAAGGCATTACACATGGAACATGTCAAGGCATTACACATGGAACATGTCTAGGTATTACACATAAAAGATGTCCAGTCATTGCATATGAAACATGTCAAGCCATTGCACATGGAACAATGGAACATGTCCAGTTATTACACATAAAACATGTCCAGCCATTGCACATAAACCATGTGCAGGCATTGCACATGAAACATGTGCAGGCATTGCACATGAAACATGTCAAGGCATTGCACAGGCATTGCACATGGAGCATATTATACTGTTTAAGGTTGAGAAAGAAATGTTGCACAGTGTCGGAATTATTTTGAATTAGTACATTATAAATATTGAACGTCTTCTGACCTTAAAGATTGTTATATAGCCAGATAAATAGAGATAGTCAATGTACTTCAGTCTTTGAATATTTGTGACACGTGTGTACAAAACTATGATAAATTATAGAGATTAAATTTCGATTAAATTTTGACTGAATCATGCCCACACAAAGCCCTCTGGCATGTTTTATAAATACCAAGATTTTGTTTATCATATATTGAAATTGATGACCTTTAACTTAGTCTGTTTAAACTTCTGTTGAAAAATTGTTCAAACCAATACAGAATGAATAGGGTTGTTATTTTTTTACAGATCTGTGTTGACTTACAGTAACTGTATGACAAATAAATTTGTGCTGATCATAATAGATATTGATACAAGTTTGATGAATAGTTGAACATTACCTTGAAAACATTTGTATGACTTGGCAATAAAGGCTTCAAACTTGTACAATAAGGCTTTGTACATTCTTATTAAAGGCTGCATACTTGGTCTTTAATGACCTCAGATATGCTGATTATTGACTATATATATGCTTAGCAAAGGCAACACACATGCTCATCAAAGGCTACATGCATGCTTAAGAAGAGATACCTGCTTGCTCATAAAGGGCTACAAACATGCTCATAAAGTTCTATATGCATGCTCATATGGGCTACATACATGCTCTTAAAGGGATAAATGCATGCTCACAAAGGGCTACATGCATGCTCATAAAGGGCTTCATACATGTTTAAGAAGGGAAACAATATAAACTGTGTTTGGTGGTGAATAAATGATTTGTTTCATGTTATGTTATGATGGTGTCCACATGATCCACTTGGTTCTGTATCAGCAGTTCCCAGTTTATATTTGAGAGGTTACATGTTTGATTCCCTGTTAAAACATGTTTCAGTCTCATTAGGAAGTATGATGATTCCAATAATCCTCAAGTGGACTTGACTTAACTCATTTTATTTTTGTTTATTTCAGGAAGGTGATGAAAACTCGCATCCTACAGCCTCTGCACGACGTGAAGTAAAACACGGTCTGAAGGAGTGGTTAGATTACCAGGATGGTCAGAAGATCCTGCTCACCACACCTACAGTCCTCGTAGGATACAGACTCGAGGTGTACAGGGCGGAGGGTACCACACAGTGGTATACTGCTGTCATACAGTCCTATAACCATACTTCAAAGGTAACATTGTAAAATATATGTAAATAGAAAGTTGTCAACGTTCAAACAAAAATTAAAGAATCTGAACAGAACAGATCAGAATACATGGGAAATTAAAATAAAAGTTTCCATATCTGTTTTTGTGATGCCTACAACGAAAATGGGTTATGGTTCTGAACATAGAGTGTGGTAACCCTCAGAAACTGGGTCACAGTACACCTTGTGTGTTCTTCCTCCACCAATAAAGCTGGAAAAGTTATTAGATATTTAGATATTAGTATCAATGCACCCTTTTTTTCATTGAAGTTGAAACTTAAGTAGAAAAAATTGTCAAATGTCAAATTTCCAACCAGCTAAAAGCCACAGCACAATATCTGTCATGCTAACATTTGACCTAGAAAACTATATTTGTCTATAAACTGTTAACAACTGTTGCAAACTTTGAGCAATGCCCTCTCAAGAAGCCTATTTGATTAAGAGGCTCTTGAAAAAGTTGTCTGAAAGCAAGAATTCTTGTCGGTTAACTAGATTTGTCATGTGCCATTGTCTCGGTGCTTGTAGTGAAATATAGAAGTAGACTGCTTCCAGTAAACCGTTATTTGTCAGTTATTCTATTAAATTTTAAGATGTTATTTCCGTGTGGTGTCAATTTTCAGTGCTGGTTATAATACTGTTTTCCTGATAGATTGAAAAGTTGAGCTTACATGCAATTGAATGTGCATGTAATTTGTAAGATGTTTGAATCATCCTTTATACTGCTATCATGGGATGGTTATAAAATATGAATTATGATGAACTTGTACAGCATTTTGATTTGGTGCTAGTATCAGTGTATAGTATAGTCAGTACATACAGAAACGCCATTGCTAGTCTGGCCATTTGATGATGGAATATACCAGTCATGTGCCATACACCGGCTGTTCAATTAAAACTTCTAGATATCAAAATCCCTTTAAAATCATATTCAGTAATGGCAGGCATTTCTATAATAACAATTAAGCAGTTTAAGGGTTAAGAATGTTTAAACATTTACACAATTATGTAAACGTGACAGCCAAAGTAAAATGTCCTTGCTGTTTTTCCTGACATTAATGTTTCTCAGACAAGAAATCAATAGAAAAGAACTGTGTTTTGGGATAGTTGCCCGCCCGCTCAGGGCCTAATTGATTCAAGGAATGCAGATAATGGTGCTAAATTGTAAAAAAGAACATTATTGTGACTCACACAGACCCTGAGTATTTTTTTTGTCTGAATAATAGTGGGAGATAAATGGAGCTCCTACATGGTGGATAATGTGAGTTATATCTTTGAACTTCAGAAGGTTATGAGGCTAATATGTTAGTTGTTTTTTGCTGGTGACCTCATTTACTGATTGGTTAAAAAGTTTTTAGGCATCTCTTTTTGAATACTGGACTTGTTTTTTTCCTGTATGAATGTAATCATACAATTAGTTTAATGGTTATGTGGTGGTTCAATTGCAATGATTGCTAAATTATTCCTGAATGCCCTTGAATCACAATACTCCATGAAAACTACCTTCTGTCAGAAATGTGAACAGATGTTTTGTACCATGTCTTGGAGACTGACGTCCAGCAAACAACAAAATTGAAGATTTTATGAATTGACCTGTTGAGGAAACTTCCAAAATTTAAACCAAACATCTACTCTAACTTTGAGAAATTTTGGTCATTGTAAGATGGTGATCTTTAAAATTAGAAGTAATGAATATGTCATGTTGTTGATGCATTGATGCTTTTTAGGAGCTTTGGGCTACCTGATTAGTAAGATCATTGAAAACAATTATTAAAATTACATTGCTGAAGTGGAATGGCACCACCAATCCTTTCATTGGTCAATTACTGGAAAGAGGAAGTTTATAGAAATAAGATCATCTTGCAATCTTGATATTTCTCTTATTCCAATCAGAGAGAGATTTCTATAAATGGATATTGGCAGAATTTTCTGTTATCCAGTCTGTCAAAGCCAAGAAAATTGGATTTCTTATCCTGTCTTTCCTACGGGGAATTGGCTCTTTCTTTGATACCACTCTAGATCGATAAGTCAATATATTTACTTGTCCTAATTTTAGTCGTATAAATTGAGATAGAATTCCCTGCAGGAGTGACTTTTCAAGAGTGCTTCAATCATTCAGTATTAGGAGAAGAGGACACAAGGATCACCTGTATAGATAAAGATAATGAGGGAGGTCATCTCATTTGTACTTTTGTCCCAATCTGGTATATTTCTGACTGGAACTAAAAAGTGATCAACTTTTGCCAGAACTATAGAGCTAGGACAGCCTGCAATCCTGTGTAATTCATCCACCAATGTACAACCCTTCCAACATAACACAACCCCCCCACCAAAAAAGAAAATATGAATAAAATATTTATGTCCATTCATTTGTTGCTTCAGACAGACAGAAAGAAAAACAAGAAAACAAAAGAATATGAAAAAATTAAGATATAACAGTATCAAGGTCACAACTGATTTAAATTTCTTTATGTTTGTTCATTGCAAATAGGGGGAAAGAAAAAAATCACTCAGACTTTACTTTACTAATTTCTTTAAGTGTAGAAAAGAGGAGCCTATTGAAGTGTGTAACAAGTTTAGAGAAGCCAATATGTGCACTTATCATGTTAATGATCACAGACAGGTCTGTTTGCTGCAAGCAATTTGAAGCCAAATTGCCTTGTTGGCACTTATAAAAGGTCATTATTTGACTTCTGAGTGGAAAAAATTTACTTTGCAGACAGAAAAAATCCTGTATTGTTTATATTGCCATTTGATTACTATAAAGTTTGGATAAAAATTCTGAAGAAACTGTTTTCTCTTCCACTGCTTTGTCAATATCCATTTAAGACCAACACTGCTTCCTAAGTATCAAACATTGCTGTGTAGTATTACATTGCTTCCTCATTATCTAGAGCAAACTAACACTGATTCGTCAGTATCTAGTGTGTCTGTCACTGCTTCCTTAGTATTTATTGTAGACCAACACTGCTTCCTCTGTATCCAGTGTAGACTGACACTTCTAGTGCAGACTGTCGTTGCTTTCTTACTCGTTCTTAGACTTCAGGGCAGACTGACAATTGCTGCTCCACTAGAACTCAGTGTTGACTGACAATGCGTCCTTCAAATCCAGTGCAGACTAACACTGCTTCCTAAGTATCCAGTGCAGACTAACACTGCTTCCTAAGTATCCTGTGTAAACAAAAATTGCTGTGTAGTGTCACACTGCTTCCTCATTATCTAGAGCAAACTAACACTGATTCGTCAGTATCTAGTGTGTCTGACACTGCTTCCTAAGTATTCATTGTAGACCAACACTGCTTCCCTGTATCCAATGTAGACTGACACTGCTTCCTAAGTATTCAGTGCAGACTGACTTGCTTCTTTAGTATTCAGTGTGGACTGACATGCTTCCTTAGTATTCATTGTTGACTTACTTTGCTTCCTAAGAATCCAGTGCAGACTTACACTTCTTCTTTAGTATTCAATGCAGACTGATGTTGCTTTCTTAGAATTCAGTGCAGACCGAGACTGCTTCCTTAGCATTCAGTGTAGACCAACATGCTTCCTTAGCATCCACTTTAGACCAACATGCTTCCTTAGTATCCACTTTAGACCAACATGCTTCCTTAGTATCCACTTTAGACCAACATGCTTCCTTAGTATCCAAGGTGGACCAACATGCTTCCTGAGTATTCAGTGTAGACCAACATGCTTCCTTAGTATCCACTTTAGACCAACATGCTTCCCAAGTATCCAGTGTGGACCAACATGCTTCCTTAGTATCCAGTGTGGACCAACATGCTTCCTTAGTATTCATTGTTGAGTGACACTGCTCCCTTAGTATCCAGTGCAGACTGACACTGCTTTCTTAGTATCCAGTGTGGACCAACATGCTTCCTTAGTATTCATTGTTGAGTGACACTGCTCCCTTAGTATCCAGTGCAGACTGACACTGCTTTCTTAGTATACAGTGTAGACCAACATGCTTCCTTATTATCCAGTGTTGACCAACATGCTTCCTTAGTATCCAGTGTGGACCAACATGCTTCCTTAGTATTCAGTGTAGACCAACATGCTTCCTTAGTATCCAGTGTGGACCAACATGCTTCCTAAGTATCAAGTGTGGACCAACATGCTTCCTTAGTATCCAGTGTGGACCAACATGCTTCCTTAGTATCCACTTTAGACCAACATGCTTCCTTAGTATCCAGTGTGGACCAACATGCTTCCTTAGTATCCAGTGTGGACCAACATGCTTCCTTAGTATTCATTGTTGAGTGACACTGCTCCCTTAGAATCCAGTGTGGACTGACACTGCTTTTCTTAGTATACAGTGTAGACCAACATGCTTCCTTAGTATCCAGTGTGGACCAACATGCTTCCTTAGTATCCAGTGTGGGACCAACATGCTTCCTTAGTATTCAGTGTAGACCAACATGCTTCCTTAGTATCTACTTTAGACCAACATGCTTCCTTAGTATCCAGTGTGGACCAACATGCTTCCTTAGTATCCAGTGTGGACCAACATGCTTCCTTAGTATCCACTTTAGACCAACATGCTTCCTTAGTATCCAGTGTGGACCAACATGCTTCCTTAGTATCCAGTGTGGACCAACATGCTTCCTTAGTATTCATTGTTGAGTGACACTGCTGCCTTTAGTATCCAGTGCAGACTGACACTGCTTTCTTAGTATCCAGTGTGGACCAACATGCTTCCTTAGTATTTATTGTTGAGTGACACTGCTCCCTTAGTATCCAGTGCAGACTGACACTGCTTTCTTAGTATCCAGCGTAGACCAACATGCTTCCTTAGTATTCATTGTTAAGTGAAACTGCTTAGTATCCAGCGTAGACCAACATGCTTCCTTAGTATCCAGTGCAGACTGACACTGCTTTCTTAGTATTCATTGTTGAGTGACACTGTTTCCTTAGTATCCAGTGCAGACTGACACTGCTTTCTTAGTATTCATTGTTGAGTGACACTGCTTCCTTAGTGTCCAGTGTAG